GAGAGAGAGAGAGAGAGAGAGAGAGAGAGAGAGAGAGAGAGAGAGAGAGAGAGAGAGAGAGAGAGAGAGAGAGAGAGAGAGAGAGAGAGTGCCATCGCGCAGGTGTGTGTGAGTGAGAGAGAGAGAGAGAGATGGAGATAGATAGATAGATAGATAGATAGATAGATAGATAGATAGATAGATAGATAGAGAGAGGACAACGTCGACGCGGAGGAGGCGCGCGCGGACATCGACGGAGCGGCGCGGCAGCGGACGGCGACGCCATCGATGCGGAGCGAAGCGGGCAGCGGAGGGGGCGCGCAGCGCGACTAAAAATTTGAACGCACGTTCATTTTTTTGAACGAGTGTTCATTTTTTTGAACGCGCGTGCGCGTTCCCTGGTTTGAACGCGGGCTGTGGGTCATTCTTTTGGGCGGCGGGAGCCCTGTTGGCGGTGCAGTGGGGGCTTTCCAGGCCGTGCGGGGTGGGTAGTCGGCGCGACAAGGGCCTCTATGGTGTGGGCTGAGGAGCGTTGTACGGGGAGGGAGGTCGACAGGAATGGGAGCTTCGTGGGACGGGCTGCGCGCCAACCAATTCGGTGAATCCATCGGGGAGCGGGCACGATGCCGCGAAGTTAGGCTAGGGTGTTTGAGGATGGGGGGGAGGACGAGAATCGGAAGGCGCAGAAGAAATGCTGCGTCTACAAGTACATCCGCGTGGGACAGAGTCTCGGCGAGAGATTCCGCGGCAATCGCACTGCGGCCACGAGTTCCAGGGCAACCTGTTTGTGGCGGCGTGCCATTTCCGCCAGGGCAAGGGATGTCCGGAAGTCACCGACGAGGCACGTGTAGACATCCACTACAATAGTGAGTACAAGATGTCCGACAAGTTCCTAGAGCGGATCTAGCGGTTTGAGGAGCTCCACGGTCCGACGCCTGCGATGGATCCTCGACGGGACGAGGGCGGGTAGGGAAAGATGAGGGACGAGGAGGAACAGATCGACGTGCAGGACGACGTCGAGGAGGTTGCGCGGGCGTGGTCGTCAGGGAGGGAGCGAGGGAAAGGCGTTGTCAGCGAGCCGGGGAAACAGCCGCAGGGCCAGTACTTTGCGTTGCCGCACGTGTCGGCTCATACACGGGCAGGAGCGGATACGGCTACGGCGGGTCCGTCTGCAGGGAAGAGGAAGGAGAGAGAGGAGGGGGCGCGACCGACGACGACACAGAAGAGGCTGAGGCAGAACACGATTACGGAGTCATTCTCTTCAAAGTGGCAGATGAAGTTCAAGAAGAAGTGGCTGCGGTTCGGTACAGTTAGTGCCTAGCGTTCAACGTCTTCCGGAGCGAGCTATGGTTGGACGTCGTCCGACACTTCAGGGAATTGCTGAGGCCAGTGGAGGTGTTGTGGCCTTCAGAGAACGAAATTGCGGACATAGAGACCATTGTCCACACGGTGGATGATGTAGGAGCTGATCTCGCAGAGGTCAGGGCTCTTTCTATGTCACGAGGGCCACCTTTATGTCAGACGGAAGGAAGTCACGCGATGCTAGACCCATCGTTAACTTCCTTTCCGGCGGGTCGCGTGGGGTGATGCTCTTGTCGACGATGAACAGGGAGGGTGAGCGGGATCGGGCGCCTGATGTATTGGCGCACAGGATCAAGGTGTTCGATGACTTCCCCCCTAAGTGGGTGAACGCCATCTGCACCGACTCCGCCTCGGCGTACGTCGCCGTGGCGAACATGCTCCAGGGGCCCGAGCAGAGGCCAGAGCATCGACAGATCACGTGGCTCCCATGTGCAGTGCATGTCTGCAACAAGATGTTGTCAGACATTGGCTGTTTGGGCGTGTGGTCCAAGGACATCGTCGTGAGGGGGAGAGCGGTGGTGTGCTTCATTAAGGAGCACGCCGCCGCTCTCCATATTTTCTGGGGGGAGAGCGGGCAGATGGGCCTCATTTATCCTTGCGAGACACGTTTCGCATCCGTGTTCGCGATGATGGAGCGTTTGCTGGCAGTGAGGTCAGCATTGGAGAGGAAGGTGGATGGCGATACTTGGGGTATGGTCCCTTGGGACCATTCCGTTCGTCAGTTGGCTAGGTGGGTCAGGTGGCAGGTGCAACATGGCAGTTGGTGGGATTCCATGGCCATCTTGTTCCGTATCATGGAGCCTGTGTACGACCTGCTGCGCAGGTTAGACCATGGAGGGTTGCACATGTCGTGGGTGGTTGAGTGGACACAAGATCTGGCCCAACAAGTTGCAGAGGAGGTATGTACACTTCCGGCCGATCTTGCACACTACATTGTGCAGAGGGTGCAGGCCCGATGCGCTCACATGTTAGAGCCAGCGCACGCCGCTGCTCACCTTCTCTGTCCCAGCCGCCGGGACTTGCGGTACTTCGAGGGCGTGGTCAGCGACTACGACGCCAGCCTGGTGAGGGAGGCAGAGACTTACATTTTGTCACAGACAGGGCTCAGTGTGGCGAGCCCCGACTACGAGACCGCATGTGCGCAGTTGCGCCACTTCCACATACGGAGGGGGAGGATTGCTTGGGGGGGGAGGGATAGAGACAAAGATGCACAGAGGTGCACGGGCGATGCAGAGACGTACGAGTCCGGGTGTTGGTGGTCGAGGTACGGGTAGTGCGCCCCCCAGTTGCAGGTTATCGCTCTTCGTATGATGTACATGTGGACGTGCTCCTCTCCTGCGGAGAGGAATTGGGCCGTCCACGAGGGTGTACAGACGAAGAAGCGTAACCGGCTTGAGTTCGAGAAGGTCGCGAAGTTGGTTGAGATCTCAGCCAACGTCCGCCTTCTCTCTCATCAGCGGGCAGGCCGCAAGTTCGCATTGCCGTGGAGTTTAGATGAGTCGTTGTTGGACGTGGAGGGAGGTATCGGGATTCGCCCCTCGTGGAAGGGGGCGGACGAGAGCAGGACGCAGGAGGAGCTCGAGGAGCAGAGACGTTCTTCGCAGCGAGACGCATGTGGGTCGATAGCTCCTCCGGGTGATGTGGGCGATGTTTTTGGGACTCAAGCCGCCACATTGCACCCGTTCCCTCGAGACGACAGTGATTCCGAGGGTAATGAGGACGAGCCGGCCGGCCTCGCTACCGCCACTCCTGCGGCGGATGAGCGTGATGAGTGGAGCGACCCAGAGAACGTCCGGAGACGGAGTGGCGTAGATGACCTTTTCGTTCGAGTTGATTTGGAGGAGGAGTCCGGGGGTCGTCATGGGAGCCCTCTAGAGCGTCAGAGGCCTACGTCCACTGACCCGCGGTCTGCTGAGCGGGAGAGAGATCCTGGGTCTTCACCTTCGAGGGGGGCAGAGTCGGGGATTGGCCATCGTCCTGCGCGTGTTCGTACTGGCACGACATCATCCACCGCTCTTCCCACTTCGACGGAGCAGCTTCGTCGACAGCCAGCCGGGGATGATCGATTGCAGAGATTGGTGAGAGGCCCGAGACAGTGATTGGAGGACAGATTAGAGGGCGGTCCTTCACCGGTGCAGGGGGACGACGGAGATAGATAGGGTTTGGCTGGTAGAGATGGTGGTGCGTTGGCCGAAGGTGGAGGCGGTGCCCAGGTTGCTGCAGCGGTAAAGGCGCACGAGATTCGGAGTGTCGGGGATGAGGGGATACCGATGATGGGGGGCGGAGGCGGTTTCAGTGAGTTTGGTGACTTGAGTATGCCCGCAGGAGAGAGTCTGGGTCTGGCCCGAGGAGAGAGCGAGTCCCGTGGGGACATCCGTGTGGGTATGCAGGACTTGTTGGGACAGATCAGCTACGCAGACCCGAGTAGTTTCTCCCCTGCCATGCGAGCAGAGGTGATGTTGGGGGGCAGAGGGGGATGAGAACCGGACACCCCTTGGAGAGATATCTGCAGAGAGGCTGGATAGGCTTGATAGTCGCCGAGCTGGCCTCAGGGCACCGAGGGACCCCAGGATGCAGGAGCTCGCCCGTCGTGCGGTCAAGGAGCGACAAAGGCAGCGGGGGACATTTACGCCGGCGTCCGTTGACGTAGCGACAGCTGCCCACACGGATCCTCCTGCAGAGGTTCACGACACGACGCAGCGGGAGGCGGCTTCAGCAGAGGTTTTGAGTACGGGAGTCGATGTTCGCCTGGGGACGCACGAGCGCAGGTTGGCACCGACAAAGGAGCCTCGTTCAGAGCCTGTGCAGCCTCCTGCTGTGCAGGTGAGGCCCGAGGAGACATTGCACGAGGTCACAGGCGTCCCTCTGCCCACAGGTTCAATTGAGGGTGCCGTGCAGATGTACCCGTGTCTGGAGGACATACAGACGGGGCAGTCAGTGGGCGTTGATGATATTTGCCCATCGGCACAGGAGGAGGGGATAGCAGCGACCACTGGGGGGGAGGGGGCCGTAGCGGGGGACGTTGGTGTTAACGAGGTGGGGGTGCCTGCTCAGGCCGATCCGATGTCCAGTCTGGCGGGGGAGATTGCGCACAGCTGAACAAGCGTGACACGGACGGGCAGGAGATGCCACAGACTTTGGTGGTACGCACTGCTGTGGGGCTAGTGGTGCCATATCAGGCACCGTTTTTGGAGGGTCATAGGCGTCGTGCACATGGCGGTGGCCCGGTTGAGGAGCGACGTGTAGGCAGGGGCGCGTGCATACCCCCAGTCCCTACTTTTGCGCCGTCACGGGAGAGGCCGAAGATTAGGTATGTGGCCACGCCTCGGGGCAGCCTCCCTTTTGGTTTTATGAGCGCTGAGGAGTTGGAGGAGCACGGTAGGATGAATTTGACGGAGATCGACCAGCACATTTTCAGGTCAGTCCTGGAGGAGGTGAAGCTGCCTCACATGCGGGACTTGTCTTGGGGGCCAGCCAGTTCCAGCTTACCTTCTGGATGTTCCGTCGCAGCGCCATCTGCCGGGGTTGCAGGGGGCTTACCTACCGGAGGTTCCGTCGCAGTGCCATCTGGCGGGTATGCACGAGGCTTACCTTCTGGAGGTTCCGCCGCAGCGCTATCTGGCAGGGCTGCAGAGGGCTTACCTTCTGGAGGTTTCGTCGCAGTGCCATCTGACGGCGCTGCAGACCCTTCGTCACCCTTGACCGCAGCTTCGAGGGAGGGCGGCAGTCTCACCCCGAGGTTGGTTGCCCATAGACGGAGAGACAATACCGACCGTGCACGCGCCTTGCTGGACACCATGTTGTTCGGTCGCACTGATCGGCCATGGAGCGAGACGAGACGGGTGACGACAGCGAGTGTGGTCGTCAGCCAGGTTTGAGAGGGGCTTCCACGAGCATGAGACGTCGAGATGTTGTAGCTTCAGGGTTTGGAGGTAGAGGTGGTAGAGGTGGTAGAGGTGGTGGCGGCGGTGGCAGCGGTGGCAACAACGACGACAGACGTGAGGTGCAGGCGGTGTCGCGGCGAGCGCAGTGGATCGGCCCTTGACGTACGGTTTGAGAGAGGCGTCAGGAGCCTGATGTTGTTACATGACCGAGGCAGGAGAGACACGTGCCCTTAGATCGACGCGAGGAGGGGGAGACTTCAGGGACAGACGGTCTACCTATGGCACGCGAGTCACGCCGACACGAGGACCTAGCTGCCCTAGTAGCCGCAGGCATCAGGACGGTGAGAGGCAGGAGAGTCCTTATGGACGACGACCCCGACGAGCGTCCCGTCGCTCCCAAGCCTTCCACTGGCAGACGTGGTGGCCAGCGTCACAGAGATCGAGGACGTGGCAGTGGTCAGTCCCACGGACGAGGTTCTCATCGGTTCGAGCGAGATCCGCTAGCACACGACGATTGTTGATGGACTACGACCAATTTAGTTTTTTGTTATCCATGATAGACGTGGTGTTTTGTGATGTTGTATAATAGCCTACTTTCCAGTCGGTACTTTTCATCGCAGACGTGGTGTTTCGTGATGTTGTATTATAGTCCACTTTCGTAGGTAGAGATGACCTTTTCGTTCGAGTTTAGTTTTTTGTTATTGATGACAGACGAAGTGTTTCCTGATGTTGTACTATAGTGTACTTTCCAGTAGGTACTTTTCTGCGTAGTTTGGTACTTCGGAGATTGTAGCTTTTTAGTGTATTTGTAGTGTACTTTTTCGTCAGAATTTTTTGGTTGGTACTTCTTTCCAGAGACTGGCGGGGCTTCGACACGATGTGTCAGATTTTTGTTATTATCCATGCTATATTGGTTTGCGTTTTGCTTCGATTTCATCTTGGCATTTGCGATGTTTCTGTTTTCAGACGACGAGTGTTTTGTGTGCTTTGAGTCCGCCTTTCTTGTCTCTGAAATCTCACTTCCCAATGTATGAGCACCAAAAAAACCTCGGGTACCCGGGGGCGTGGGCGGACTTGGGGGGTTAGGGGTTGGCGCGATTTGAATACGCACGAAACCCAAACCCCAAAAGTGCTTCCAGGCCCCTCATAACCAAAACCCCCCCGTCGCCCCCC